TAGTGCGAGAGACATTCTAGTGCCACGTCTTACTCCCAATTATTACCAGATGTGCATCAACACCCTCATAGTTATCAATTGTTGATTGTTGATTACTAATGCCGAACTATTAGTTTAATTGAATCTCTGAACGCAGCATGAACCGTCAAGATCTTTCATTGCATAGCTGAATTTGCAGATACTTTAGCTGTCAGTTACAGTAAACAGGGAAGAGTTTCGTCTCACCTGGCTGTATATCCGGCGGCAACTTCAGGCGTCGATTGCACATATTCCGCGTATTCGGCAGCCAAGGTGTCGCTGGTAGTGCGAGAGACATTCTAGTGCCACGTCTTACTCCCAATTATTACCAGATGTGCATCAACACCCTCATACTTATCAATTGTTGATTGTTGATAACTAATGCCCAACTGTTAGTTTAATTGAATCTCTGAACGCAGCATGAACCCTCAAGATCTTTCATTGCATAGCTGAATTTGCAGATACTTTAGCTGTCAGTAACAGTAAACAGGGAAGAGTTTCGTCTCACCTGGCTGGATATCCGGCGGCAACTTCAGGCGTCGATTGCACATATTCCGCGTATTCGGCAGCCAAGGTGTCGCTGGTGGTGCAAGATACATCCTGATGCCCCATCTTACTCCCAATCATTATCAGATGTGCATCAACACCCTCATATTTATCAATTGTTGATTGTTAATTACTAATGCCCAACTATTAGTTCAATTGAATTTCTGAACGCAGCATAAACCCTCAAGATCGTTCATTTCATAGCTGAATTAGCAAGATACTTCAGCTGTCAGTTACAGTAAACAGGGAAGAGTTTCGTCTCACCTGGCTGTATATCCGGCGGCAACTTCAGGCGTCGATTGCACATATTCCGCGTATTCGGCAGCCAAGGTGTCGCTGGTAGTGCGAGAGACATTCTAGTGCCACGTCTTACTCCCAATTATTACCAGATGTGCATCAACACCCTCATACTTATCAATTGTTGATTGTTGATTACTAATGCCCAACTGTTAGTTTAATTGAATCTCTGAACGCAGCATGAACCCTCAAGATCTTTCATTGCATAGCTGAATTTGCAGATACTTTAGCTGTCAGTAACAGTAAACAGGGAAGAGTTTCGTCTCACCTGGCTGGATATCCGGCGGCAACTTCAGGCGTCGATTGCACATATTCCGCGTATTCGGCAGCCAAGGTGTCGCTGGTGGTGCAAGATACATCCTGATGCCCCATCTTACTCCCAATCATTATCAGATGTGCATCAACACCCTCATATTTATCAATTGTTGATTGTTAATTACTAATGCCCAACTATTAGTTCAATTGAATTTCTGAACGCAGCATAAACCCTCAAGATCGTTCATTTCATAGCTGAATTAGCAAGATACTTCAGCTGTCAGTTACAGTAAACAGGGAAGAGTTTCGTCTCACCTGGCTGTATATCCGGCGGCAACTTCAGGCGTCGATTGCACATATTCCGCGTATTCGGCAGCCAAGGTGTCGCTGGTAGTGCGAGAGACATTCTAGTGCCACGTCTTACTCCCAATTATTACCAGATGTGCATCAACACCCTCATAGTTATCAATTTTTGTTTGTTGATTACTAATGCCGAACTATTAGTTTAATTGAATCTCTGAACGCAGCATGAACCGTCAAGATCTTTCATTGCATAGCTGAATTTGCAGATTCTTTAGCTGTCAGTTACAGTAAACAGGGAAGAGTTTCGTCTCACCTGGCTGTATATCCGGCGGCAACTTCAGGCGTCGATTGCACATATTCCGCGTATTCGGCAGCCAAGGTGTCGCTGGTAGTGCGAGAGACATTCTAGTGCCACGTCTTACTCCCAATTATTACCAGATGTGCATCAACACCCTCATAGTTATCAATTGTTGATTGTTGATTACTAATGCCGAACTATTAGTTTAATTGAATCTCTGAACGCAGCATGAACCGTCAAGATCTTTCATTGCATAGCTGAATTTGCAGATACTTTAGCTGTCAGTTACAGTAAACAGGGAAGAGTTTCGTCTCACCTGGCTGTATATCCGGCGGCAACTTCAGGCGTCGATTGCACATATTCCGCGTATTCGGCAGCCAAGGTGTCGCTGGTAGTGCGAGAGACATTCTAGTGCCACGTCTTACTCCCAATTATTACCAGATGTGCATCAACACCCTCATAGTTATCAATTGTTGATTGTTGATTACTAATGCCGAACTATTAGTTTAATTGAATCTCTGAACGCAGCATGAACCCTCAAGATCTTTCATTGCATAGCTGAATTTGCAGATTCTTTAGCTGTCAGTTACAGTAAACAGGGAAGAGTTTCGTCTCACCTGGCTGTATATCTGGCGGCAACTTCAGGCGTCGATTGCACATATTCCGCGTATTCGGCAGCCAAGGTGTCGCTGGTAGTGCGAGAGACATTCTAGTGCCACGTCTTACTCCCAATTATTACCAGATGTGCATCAACACCCTCATAGTTATCAATTTTTGTTTGTTGATTACTAATGCCCAACTATTAGTTTAATTGAATCTCAGAACGCAGCATGACCCCCAAGATCTTTCATTGCATAGCTGAATTTGCAGATACTTTAGCTGTCAGTTACAGCAAACAGGGAAGAGTTTCGTCTCACCTGGTTGTATATCCGGCGGCAACTTCAGGCGTCGATTGGACATATTCCGCGTATTGGGCAGCCAAGGTGTCGCTGGTAGTGCGAGAGACATTCTAGTGCCACGTCTTACTCCCAATTATTACCAGATGTGCATCAACACCCTCATAGTTATCAATTTTTGTTTGTTGATTACTAATGCCGAACTATTAGTTTAATTGAATCTCTGAACGCAGCATGAACCGTCAAGATCTTTCATTGCATAGCTGAATTTGCAGATTCTTTAGCTGTCAGTTACAGTAAACAGGGAAGAGTTTCGTCTCACCTGGCTGTATATCCGGCGGCAACTTCAGGCGTCGATTGCACATATTCCGCGTATTCGGCAGCCAAGGTGTCGCTGGTAGTGCGAGAGACATTCTAGTGCCACGTCTTACTCCCAATTATTACCAGATGTGCATCAACACCCTCATAGTTATCAATTGTTGATTGTTGATTACTAATGCCGAACTATTAGTTTAATTGAATCTCTGAACGCAGCATGAACCGTCAAGATCTTTCATTGCATAGCTGAATTTGCAGATACTTTAGCTGTCAGTTACAGTAAACAGGGAAGAGTTTCGTCTCACCTGGCTGTATATCCGGCGGCAACTTCAGGCGTCGATTGCACATATTCCGCGTATTCGGCAGCCAAGGTGTCGCTGGTAGTGCGAGAGACATTCTAGTGCCACGTCTTACTCCCAATTATTACCAGATGTGCATCAACACCCTCATACTTATCAATTGTTGATTGTTGATTACTAATGCCCAACTGTTAGTTTAATTGAATCTCTGAACGCAGCATGAACCCTCAAGATCTTTCATTGCATAGCTGAATTTGCAGATACTTTAGCTGTCAGTAACAGTAAACAGGGAAGAGTTTCGTCTCACCTGGCTGGATATCCGGCGGCAACTTCAGGCGTCGATTGCACATATTCCGCGTATTCGGCTGCCAAGGTGTCGCTGGTAGTGCGAGAGACATTCTAGTGCCACGTCTTACTCCCAATTATTACCAGATGTGCATCAACACCCTCATACTTATCAATTGTTGATTGTTGATAACTAATGCCCAACTGTTAGTTTAATTGAATCTCTGAACGCAGCATGAACCCTCAAGATCTTTCATTGCATAGCTGAATTTGCAGATACTTTAGCTGTCAGTTACAGCAAACAGGGAAGAGTTTCGTCTCACCTGGCTGTATATCCGGCGGCAACTTCAGGCGTCGATTGTACATATTCCGCGTATTCGGCAGCCAAGGTGTCGCTGGTGGTGCGAGAGACATTCTAGTGCCACGTCTTACTCCCAATTAGGTATTACCAGATGTGCATCAACACCCTCATACTTATCAATTGTTGATTGTTGATTACTAATGCCGAACTATTAATTTAATTGAATCTCTGAACGCAGCATGAACCCTCAAGATCTTTCATTGCATAGCTGAATTTGCAGATTCTTTAGCTGTCAGTTACAGTAAACAGGGAAGAGTTTCGTCTCACCTGGCTGTATATCCGGCGGCAACTTCAGGCGTCGATTGCACATATTCCGCGTATTCGGCTGCCAAGGTGTCGCTGGTAGTGCGAGAGAAATTCTAGTGCTACGTCTTACTCCCAATTATTACTAGATGTGCATCAACACCCTCATAGTTATCAATTGTTGATTGTTGATTACTAATGCCCAACTATTAGTTTAATTGAATCTCAGAACGCAGCATGACCCCCAAGATCTTTCATTGCATAGCTGAATTTGCAGATACTTTAGCTGTCAGTTACAGCAAACAGGGAAGAGTTTCGTCTCACCTGGTTGTATATCCGGCGGCAACTTCAGGCGTCGATTGGACATATTCCGCGTATTGGGCAGCCAAGGTGTCGCTGGTAGTGCGAGAGACATTCTAGTGCCACGTCTTACTCCCAATTATTACCAGATGTGCATCAACACCCTCATAGTTATCAATTGTTGATTGTTGATAACTAATGCCGAACTATTAGTTTAATTGAATCTCTGAACGCAGCATGAACCCTCAAGATCTTTCATTGCATAGCTGAATTTGCAGATACTTTAGCTGTCAGTTACAGCAAATAGGGAAGAGTTTCGTCTCACCTGGCTGTATATCCGGCGGCAACTTCAGGCGTCGATTGCACATATTCCGCGTATTGGGCAGCCAAGGTGTCGCTGGTAGTGCGAGAGACATTCTAGTACCACGTCTTACTCCCAATTATTACCAGATGTGCATCAACACCCTCATAGTTATCAATTGTAGATTGTTGATAACTAATGACGAACTATTAGTTTAACTGAATCTCTGAACGCAGCATGAACCCTCAAGATCTTTCAATTTGGAAGAGTTTCGTCTCACCTGGCTGTATATCCGGCGGCAACTTCAGGCGTCGATTGCACATATTCCGCGTATTCGGCAGCCAAGGTGTCGCTGGTGGTGCGAGAGACATCTTGGTGTCCTGTCGGCGGTGGGTCGAGTTCATAGTCGGAATCGTAGCTCGAGTCCTCGCCTGCCACCGTACCTGTGCAACCCTCCACGCATATTTCGTCTACATATTTCTGAAAAAAAAAAAAAAGGTTGGATGTTAGCATTCATGAACAACAACTTTTTCATTAGGTCGTTAGTTCGCTACAAATTTCATGAGTCATAACTATCGGAACAAAGGCTAGAGCGGATTGTTTGGACCAAAATTCAGTACCTCAGTAAAATATTGCTGTGGAAAAAGACGTTTCAATCGAAAATGTATTGACTTTAAACTCGCACCAAAATGTATTTACTGGCAAGACATGTAACTCATCAGCAACAGTTATCTGACAGTCTTAAGCACACTCTTTATAAATGAAATAATATTTGAAATCCCCTTTCGAGACTTTGAACTGTTCAATTGAGTTTTTCTCGAACAGAGATGGGAATGTCGTTTTTAGACAAGAGTACCAATATTACGTGGAAATAATGTTTATGTCATATTTTTTAATCAAAATTACTGAAAAGTTTCATAAAAAAAGTTATCAGTCGATTTCAACAATAGGAATCATTCACGTGGCGCCCCCTGTAACAAACTGTAGAATAATACAAAAAATAATATTCCCTTGATAAATATACAGCGAAATTATTAGCAGAAAATGAAAACAAAATCAACCTCAACTTCTCCACTGCGAAATTTTATCAAGGCATATTTCGGTCCTATCGCCATATTTTGATCCAAACAATCCGCCCTTAGGTTATGTCCCAATATTAATGACTCACCCTGTAAAGTTCCGGCGCCAATGCCATTTTCAAAATTTCGTCATGTTTGGTTCGACTGAAAATTCATAACGAGGACTTTGAGGCATCGAGGAACAGGAATTTCTCATAGGAATTTGAAAATACTGGAGATTATAGACTGCACATATTGGCAGTTTCATGAAAGAATGGCACTCCGAAGCCAGAAAGGACGTCCAGCGAACACATCCTAGATTTAGATTTCTTGCATTTTAAATTGATTTCACCAATTATTGTAATCAAACTGAATACACATTATATACAGAAAAAAGACAATGTTTTCATGTCCTGTGAAACTATATGAAGAATCGAATAAACTATATGAAGAATCAAATAAACTCGAGATCATCTCCACAAATTAAATACACTCTCTTTGGCAGGTCTCTCTTTGATGTGAACATTATTTTTCATGAATCAGATTCACTTTGAACCTTCCACTACAAAAACTCGACTTTCTCTTTCGAATTAAATAGTATGGTTCATATTATTATATGTTATTGCTCTAGCCCATTATATTTGTTGAATTTTTCTTTTCTGCCCTTTACAGCAAAGAGGTTGTTCAAGCCTGGATTAGAGATTAGATTAGAAATGGGGCTTTCGGGCTATTTGCCTCCACACGGTGTCCACGGTGACCTCTTCAGATCTAGTGTATCTGTCCTCGAAATCGTTTAGTTCTTTGACTAGCCCCACCTTCCGTATGAGACTCTATAGGCTAGGTTTTAGATCTCCTGTGTATCTTTGTTCTCTTAGTTTCTCCTCTACCAGCGTGAGGATTTAAGGAACCTCAATCTTGACAAGCCCTCACAGTGGCAAAGAATGTGTACTGCTGTTTCCTCCTATTCATGGGCGCCGGCAGCGAAGTGCAAGGGGGTGCACTTGCACCCCCATGGTAGAGAAGAAAATAGTTATACAGGGAGAATATTGATGAATTCGCCATGCTCTCAACTTGATGGAAAATGTATTCCTACAGTGCTTTTCTCAATGCCCCACCCCTTTAATTTTTCGAACTAGTCAACTGAAACAAATTTAAACTTGGGATGATGAAATTAATGCATGAATCGACGTATTGGAGTAATTGAATGCATATAATTCATCATTAGTCCACTTACCATTCAGAAAATACTAGTTAGCGTCTCTGGAATGGAGGACGAGTTTGGAATTTTTCTTGTCCGATTCGACTGAAATTTCATACTGGAGGGTTATTGAAGTTGAGCAACAGAAGTGTCAAAATCAGAAGACATTTTGAAACATCCCAAGCTGAGTAAAAATTTAATATTTTTTCGATATATTTATATTATTCCTCATCATCGAACATTTTTCAAACTCAGTTACAATCAAGGCTCCACTTTCCATTTGAGATTTTAGAGGTGAGTCTCACCCCCGCTAGAGGGTTGGCGTTCAGGGGTTGAAACTGGCAAAAAAATGTTTCCCCAATAGTATACCGCGTATATTGAAGTGATTATCTAGTCATAAAAAGTGTTATAAGTTGGGGTATACTCAAGAAAGGAGAACTTGAGAAGGCGGAAGAAGCCTGGAGAGCCAGACAATGGAGAAGACTTCCAGGACTACGGCAGGCTAAAGATCTCCTCGGAAATTTCAACCGAGAAAGATCTAAGACACTGACAGCAAAGGAAGTCTCAAAGCAATAACGGGATTTCTAAAGGGGCATTGCAGACTCAAAGAACACCTAAGGAAGCTAGGCTTACAGGAGGACGGCACCTGCAGATTCTGTGAGGAAGAACCAGAAACACCCCATCACATACTGATGGAGTGTGACGCTGTACATCACAAAAGATTGAACATACTGGGAACACACCTGCTGACTGTGGAAGAAATACCACAGCTAGACCCCCTCAAAATCCTCAAATTCCTGAAGGTATTGAATCTCGAGGGGCTGCTATGAACAAGAAATCCTTGATATAGCAGAAGCAGATGGGGCACAATAGATCTAATTAGGTCGCAGCGCATCTGTCACCATCCAACCTACCAATACCAATACTCAAGAAATTGAATACTGATTTAAATATCCCAGTAAATAATATTATGCATAATAATTCATCACAAAAATTTTGAAATATTTGAAAGAAAAGGCTCGAGAAAAGGTTATAAAGATTCGTCTATAATCAGTCAACGATAACCTTGAACCTTTATTAAGCTAATTCAACTTTTCCGTAAAAAATAATCATATTCATATCCTGTTCTGACATTATTATAAGAAATCAATTAATTATGAAAATGATTAGGAACAATTTCGAGACCTACAAAAAATCACTACCGAATCTAGCCTGATGCAACAAAGGTGAAATTTATATCACTAATATTTATTTAAATTGATTATTTATTCTTTGTAGCAATCAAAGGACAAACAATTATGAAGTGGGAGGATTCATCAAGTGATTTAATACAAGGTGTTATAAGGCGTTGAAAAAATTAGTTTCTATTATGAGTGATACAGGGTGGACATGAGAAATTTCTCAGCATATTTTCTACTCCAACGCTCTGTACCTCGCAAACGGAGCCTTTACGACATAATTTTTTTTAGATGCTCATTATCTCTAGAAGTGCGTCACACATATTAAGAAATATCCTGTATATAATTGAGGAATTCATTTGTATTCTTTCATTGCTCACACCAAATAATGCTTTGATATATTTATAGCTTTCACATGGTACATAAAAAAATATAGCAGTTCTTAAATACTGTCCGTAGGTTAATCCGGGTTAATCTCCAGATTTTTTGGAATTGTATCTCCTAGTTTCTATGAATGAAAATATGAAAACTATTTAAATATATGTAGTAAGGACAAATCAGATGATATGCCCGAAAATTTTAATGCTAGGAAAGAAGAGATTTATTTTTTTTTTCTTCAGAAAACCACAATCATGTATAACCGAATTTATTGTTTATAGAACTGCACGGTTTGTGTAAACAGTAAATAAAATTGAATCGAATTACTGAATTACTGCGTTTGAAAATTTCATGACATAATAGAACCTAAACAAAAAATGTTAATGATGACCAGTTACACTTTGTTTTGGAAATTGTTTAAAGAGCAAGAAAATAGATATTAGGACACAAATTCGAATTTCAACTCAACTTCTTCGAACATTTTACAAAACAAAGTGTCACTGACTACCGATTATAATTTTCTATCAGGCACTCCAATAGTGAAATTTTCAAACGCAATATATTTTGTGGCAAATCATCTGATTTGTCCTTACAAGACATATCATCAAATAATACTCATTCATTTATAGAAATGAGAAAATTCCGAATAGTTTGTTTTCTGCATTTCATCCTCCTGGATTTTCTGTCTCAGATTCCCATAGTCCTGTAAACAATATTTTCTTGTCCAATATCCAATAGTAGTTTTTATTTTAGCTTGAATAATTACATTTGCTCATGCCTTTTTTATATCTAGAATCATAATATCAGAAATAAAATATTACGATTTGAAGTACGAACACCCATAACTTAGAGCTGAATATTTCGTGATTATTTGATTAGGTATTCAAGGTGATAATAATACAATTATTGAATAGACAACAAAGAGGAATTAACTTCCGTGTATACAAGTCGAATAAATTGCTTAATCAATCTTATTTCTTAATTATTTTAGTAAGACATTCTCAGAAGTTCTTGTATAGCTGTCCCAAATCGGTTATCCGCATTAGGTACCTACAGGGTGTCCGGGAATTATGAGCAAAAAATCAAGGGGGTGATTCTGCATGAGAAAACATGAAATTTATCTCATATATACTTGGGTCCCGAAATGCATAGTTTTCAAGATACAGTGTGTTGAACTTTTTAGAAAAAATCGTTTCTTTATGAATATCTCAAATATCCTTCCACCAATTCTCTTGAAATTTGGCAATGATATTCTTTGTCATCAGGGGCTGATTTAGCCATAATTAAATCGGAATTGTAAAATCCAGTGGCGTCCCGGGGGCACCCTACCGATAATTATTGTCAATAAAATGTGCGCCACTGATTTTCTAATATTATATTTTATTGTTATATGTGATTGTTGTATAGTTACATTTTTCAATAAGTTATAATTTTTTTTCATTTTCGTTTTTATCTGATATGAAGCTCGTAGGAAAAACGTTGTTCCTAACACGTGCGCAAAGTGTCTTTTTCGCACGCACAAACTCATTCGAACTCCGCCTCGCGTCGTTAGCCTAACTGTATTTGCGTGCGGGAAAATAACTATTTTACTATTTTCACAGACGATGGTGGCTTCTTGCAACGCAAAAAGCTGAATATTTTCAGCTTTTTGCGTCATTTCAATTACAG